CCTGCTTCCTACAGAAATAGATGTATTGAGTTATTCTCTAGGTCCCAGGTCATTTAGCATATGGGACAAAGTCATCCTTCTTTCTTGGTAGTACAGGCAGTACAAGTTTATCTTTCACACTGTGACCAATAAAATGTAACATTAAATTTTAAAGCAAAAAAGAAAATGTACATTGAGTTAAATGTGCAAAAGCAACAAAAGGTAGCCACAAAAATTATCAGCAAACACCCAAACCAACTGGATCATTCTATTGGGTTGTCGGGGAAATCATGATGCATTTTTGCATAGAAAAATATTTGCTATTACTGAGGATGGGTTCTTTAACACACAGAAGGTACCTGATCTAAAAACCTAATACAAGGGAAATTTAAATCTAGAGAACATACAAATTCGTTCTCTAGTGATAATATTGAAAAAAAAATTTTTAAGGTCATACCAAGATTGCTTTACTTAATAAAATGCCTCAATTATATATTTTGGCTTTATTTTTTTTAATTGCCAGAGGGAATATTGCTTGCCAGAGAGAGAGAAAACACCCTTCAGTAGAATATGACCATGTTTCAATTCTTTCTCTTTCATTTCTCTACCCTGTTGAGATTTGGGGCATGCACATATACACATTCACAGTGTTTTTAGGCCACTAGGGCCAGGTCCCAAATTACCCTGGCCATGTGGGATCTGTTCTCTCTATATGGCACTTAACCACTGCCCTACAGAGCCAGCCCTGGCTTTACTTTTTAAAACATTATTTATTGGGGCTGGATGGTGCTACAGCAGTAAAACTGGAAGCTCTAGGAGGTTGATCCTCATGAGAAGGTTCCAACCCGAATAGCATAGTGTCGTCACAGCACACACCACCACATCTGGGCCAAGAACCTGTATTTTTTTTTTTAAGAATTATTTCTTTAACTTTATTTATTGTTTTTGTTTGATTTTTGGTTTTTTGTTTTGCTTTATTTTGTTTCAATTTGCTGTCGGGCACATGCACTTACCAGAGATAGAAAGGAAAAAAAGGAAGTCACCAGGTCCAGGACTCAAACTGGAATCAGTCACGTGGGAGTTCAGTGCCTTAACCACCACACCACCTGCTGATACAGAACCTGTATTGTTTAAAGCATCCAGTAATGTTGATGTTTATCCAGACTTTACAACAATTGACATAAGATAATAGAGAAGACAAAATAAGGAAAGATTATTTTATTGTAGTGAATTTGGACATTGAATGCACCTTAGAATGGCCTAAAGAGTTTTTAGAAATCCCATTGCAAGCCAAACTTCAGACTCATTAAATCAAAACTTCTGGGGGCAGATTAGTTTTTCAAAATACCTCAGGAGATTCCATAGTACAACCAAGGCTGCAAGTCTGGGAATACTGTTTTACCAGAACAGTCAGGAATTACGATCAATCTTAATAGAAGAGAAGGCAATCCTTGCAGCAAGTTTTGAAAACCAAATATTTTCTAGAGATAGAAGAATGGCAAGATATAAAGCAGAAACATTTGTAGTAATTTAATGAAGATGGTGGATTCCAAGAAATGAATCGATTTGAATACTTGGAGGTTACACTGATGGGCTTTATGACAAATGTGAGGTAACAATGAAAGAAGAATCTCAGATGATTTTCAAATCTCTGGTTTAGACACTTTGT